CTCTCCTTTTGAGAAACAATTTTTGGCTTGTTACTGGGCCTTAGTATAGACTGAACACTTAACCATGGGACACCAAGTCACCATGAGGCCTGAACTGCCCATCATGAACTGGGTGTTGTCTGATCCACAGAACCATAAAGTTGGACGTGCACAGCAGCACTCCATCATTAAATGGAAGTGGTATAAGCGAGATCGGGCCCGAGCAGGACCCGAAGGCACAAGTTGCATGAGGAAGTGGCCCGAATGCCCATGGTCTCCACTCCTGTCACATTACCTTCCATCTCCCAGTCTGCACCTATGGTCTCATGGGGAGTTCATTATGATCAGTTGACTGAGGAAGAGAAAACCTGTGCCTGGTTTACAGATGGTTCTGTGCGATATGCAGGTGCCACTTGAAAGCGGACTGCGGCAGCACTACAGCCCCTTTCTGGGACCTCCCTGAAGGACAGTGGTGAAGGGAAATCCTCTCAATGGGCAGAACTCTGAGCAGTGCACCTCGTTGTTCACTTTGCTTGGAAGGAGAAATGGCCAGATGTGCGATCATATACTGATTCATGGGCTATGGCCAATGGTTTGGCTGCATGGTCAGGTACTTGGAAAGAACACGATTGGAAAATTGGAGACAAGGATTTACGGGGAAGAGGTATGTGCACAGACCTCTCCAAATGGGCTAAAGAAATGAAGATATTTGTGTCTCATGGGAATGCTCACCAAAGGGTGACCTCAGCAGAGGATAATTTTAACAATCAAGTGGATAGGACGACGCACTCTGTGAAAACCAGTCATCCTCTTTCCCCAGCTACTCCCACCATTGCTCAATGGGCCATGAACAAAGTGGCCATGGTGGCAGGGATGGAGGTTATGCACGGGCCCAGCAGGATGGATTTCCACTCACCAAGGCTGACATGGCCACAGCCTCTGCGGAATGCCTAATCTGCCAGCAGCAGAGACCAACACTGAGCCCGATATGGCACCATCCCTCAAGGTGATCAGCCAGCAACCTGGTGTCAAGGTGATTACATTGGACCACTTCCATCATGGAAAGGGCAGCATTTCGTCCTTACTGGAATAGACACTTACTCTGGATATGGATTTGCCTTCCCTGCACGCAATGCTTCTGCCTAAACTACCATCCATGGACTTACAGAATGCCTTATCCACCGTCATGGTATCCCACACAGCATTGCCTCAGATCAAGGGACTCACTTCACAGCAAATGAAGTGTGGCAGTGGGCCCACATTCATGGAATTCACTGGTCTTACCATATTCCCCATCATCCCGAAGCAGCTGGCTTGAGAGAACGATGGAATGGCCTTCGAAAGACACAATTACGGCGCCAGCTAGGTGGCAATACCTTGCAGGGATGGGGCAATGTTCTCCAGGAAGCTATATATGCTTTAAACCAGTGTCCAATATATGGTGCTGTTTCTCCCATAGCCAGGATTCATGGATCCAGGAATTAAGGGGTGGAAACTGGAGTGGCACCACTCACTACTATTCCTAGTGACCCACTTGCAAGATTTTTGCTTCCCGTCCCCTTGACCTTATGCTCTGCAGGTCCAGAGGTCTTAGTTCCAAAGGGAGGAATGCTCCCACCTGGAGACACATCACTGATTCCACTGAACTGGAAGTTAAGAATGCCACCTGGCCACTTTGGGCTCCTTATGCCTCTGGATCAACAAGCAAAGAAGGGAGTTACCATACTGGCTGGTGTGACTGATCCTGATTACCAAGAGGAAATCAGATTGGTATTACATAATGGAGGTAAAGAAGAGTATGTCTGGAATGCAGGAGATTCCTTGGGGCATTTCTTGGTACTACCATGCCTTGTGATTAAAGTCAATGGAAAACTACAGCAACCTAATTCTGACATGACTACTAATGACACAGACCCTTCAGGAATGAAGGTTTGGGTCACCCCACAGGCAAAGAACCACGACCAGCTGAGGTGCTTGCTGAGGGCAAAGGGAATACAGAATGGGTGGTGGAAGAAGGCAGTTCTAAATACCAGTTACGGCCATGTGACCAGCTGCAGAAATGAGGACTGTTGTTATGAGTATTTGTACTTTGTATGTGTGCATTAAATATTTTTGTTTCCTTCACTTATAAAATATAACCTTTAAATGGGGCTAGTGCGTTTTCAATTGTATGCGTGTTAGTTGTATCATGTTAGGCGCAAGTATGACTTTCTAATTGTCTTTATCCAGAGATTACGTACGGTTTAAGGAGATGTGTACATGTGCCAAGCTGAGAAGGGGTGGACTGTGATGGTTAAGATTGTGTGTCAACTTGGCTGGGCCACGATTCTCAGTGTTTTAATGTAATCACTCCCATGACCAAATATACTGTGAGTAGCCAATCAGATGAAAGGGAGTCTCCTTGGGGGTGTGGCCCGCATCTGTATATAAGCAGACGTTCTGGCTTTTTGCTCTCTCTGGATCCTGCGGCTGTTTCCTGTCCTCTCATCCCCCGTTCTTGGGACTTGAGCTGTCAGCTTATCTGCCGAACCTGGGACTCATCGATCTGCACAGCCTGTGAGTGGGAGCCTTGCTCTCCAACCTGCCGATCTTGGGCTTGCCAGCTTCTGCGGCTGTGTGACTTAGGAGAGGCCTCTACCCTGATCCACGGACTTAGGACATTCTAGCCTCTACAATTGCGTGAGTTGTTTCCTTGATATAATCTCTCTGTATATATATATATACTTATACACTTTACTGGTTTTGCTTCTGTAGAGAACGCAGCCTAAGACAGTTTGTTTTTAAATACAGATTAGAGTTTTGACCCACATCTAGTGAATGAAGACTCTCCAGGGATAAGGCCCAGGAATCTGTATTTTCAAACTCCCCAGAAGATCCGGATGCAGGGGTATGTGGCCTGGCTTCTGGAAACCACCCAGCTACAGGTCTGACAACACCTGGGAGCTGTCCTCCCTCCCGAGAGCCCACCACATATCCCCAGAACCCCTGGCCCTCTGCGCCCAGCCCCCCTCCTCACCATAGCCCCATTCAGCCAAGTGAGGAAAGGCCCCAGTCCTGCCCCTTCCTCTTCACCAGAGCAAGAAGCACCAAAAGGATACGCTCGGGCATTTTCCACCAGGGGTCCCTGCCCAGACACTAGCATCCGCTTCCCATGGAACTGTGAGAAGAGCTTCAGGGGGCTGTGAGAGAGAATAACTTGGTCGGGATCCACCTGTGGGGACAGTCAAGAGACAGAGGAGGGCAGAGGAAGACACAACCAGCAACCACTGAGGGACAATAATGCGGACATAGGTGGCAGGTTCTCTCACCTACAAAGTACGGGGAGAAAGCTGCCCAGAAAAAGGAGGTAAAAGCTCTTTCTGCCACCAAACAGGTGAGAGAAGAACCTCTCTAATTTAGATCTTGCCACATAAAACAAGAAAACAGGAAAAGCCTTCAGATGTGGGTTCTGACCAATCCTGTTTTCTCAGCTCCCTCGCACCCCTGGATTTCTCAATACATCACCTGAAAACACAGGGTTGTGTGCATGTTCTTGGTCACTGTCATAGAAACCTGCTTTTAGTTTGACTTTTGTTTTCAGTTCTACTTAAACACTTGACTTTTTAACATTTAAACTAACTCCAACAATGCAGCCTTTACTTAGAATGTTTTTGGAACACTCTCTGGAAACCAGAGAAGGAAACCAGTTTCTTCCTTTACATGCTGCGTTAGTCCCCAGACAGTATCACCCAGTTAATCAGCTACCCTATTAACCTCTTGCTTCTAAAGGACTCCTTCCAAAAACTAAATCTGAACTTAAAAAACAAGAACATGTCAATGTTGGAATGGGGTGTGGAGCTGCGAGTGGGTGAAGAGGGACCGCTTTTAGAGGACAGCACTTGGATGTGCACACCTTATGTATGAAAAACAAGGCGTGTTGCTTCAAATCCCACCTGGTATGTGGAGATTTAGACAAACGTGACTGTTACTTTCCAGGAGCTGACAATGCAAAAGAGTCACCCCTGATGCCCAGAACAAAAGAAATGGATACAGTAGAACAAAACTGCCAAAGACATGGGCAGAAGTTTTGCACTCTCCCACGTATACGAAAAAATGACCTACTGACAGGGCTCTCCTCATGAGGCTGGGCTTGAACTTCAAGTTACTTTTCCAGCAGGGTTGAAAGATTTACACTGACCAACTGGCTATGACCTAGGGCTCATCAATACTGTACTCCAACAAAAGGAAGGGGACTTAGTCACAGGGGAGTAAGGGTTCCTTTGGGAGTCAAGTCCTTCAGCTCCCATGCCTCTGGCTACCTCCTTACCTTGAACCCAAAGAGGGATGACAGCTCCTGGGCTTTGCCATGTTGTAAGATGTTCCCAGCATTCGTGACAAAGACCACGGGCACCCGCAACTGTCCCTGGGAGTTCACCAGCCTGCGGAACGCCTCCAGAGCGGCGGGGATAACCCTGTGGCCCCGCACCAGCACGCCATCGATGTCCAAGAGGAACCCAAAAGTGGGCGGGCTCTGCACAGACGGCAAGAGAAGAGAATTACCACTGCATGTGCCACGGTGCACAAGGGGAGGAAAGAAAAAGAAACAACCCTTACAAGACAGGCTCAATATTATGCTCAGGTCACCCAGGGTCTTTGAAAATTACATCAGAAAGAAGCAAACAAAAAAGGAAACACGGTATTTCCGATAGGGCAAATCTATCTATAAAAAGGAATTTTTCCTTTTTCCTTTGTAAGCATAAAACTTTTCTGTTAAAATTTTATATAACTGATGTAAAGCAAATTTTAAGGAAAATAAAGAACTTAAAAGAAACATAATGCCGGGACTTTAACACAACAAATTAATATTTTCCCTTTTCTTCTATTCATGTTGTTCACATAGCTACAACTATACTTCATATATGCAATTTTGCATCTTGTTCTTTTTGCTTAACATATCATAAGAGTTTTTATGTTACAATAGTCTTTGTTGTTGTTGTTGTTGGGTGCCCCCGAGTCCATTCCGACTCACAGTGATCTCATGTGACAGAGTGGAACTGCCCTACAGGGTTTTCTGGGCTGTAACCTTTACAGAAGCAGATCATCAGGTCTTTCTCCCACAGAGCCGCTGGGCAGGTTCAAACCACCAACCTTTTGGTTAGCAGCCAAGTGCTTAACCATTGTGCTACCCAGGCTCCTTAGGGTCTTTAAAGACATCTTGAAACTTTTTTAGTATAATACACAGAAAAAAAAGAAAAAAAAAGAAGAGAAAGAAAACTCAATCACTACGGAGGATATGATTTTTTTTCTTTTTAAGTTATTGCCTTTCTTCCACCTACTCCTATCCTATTCCCTCTCTTGTACATTTTTCCAAAAACTTTTTATGGCTATATAGTATGTAAATTTTTTTATCTTTTAAGTACACACACACAAAAAATGAAAATATGTTGTACTTTTTCCCCCCCATCTTATCTTTTTTACTTGCTATCTCTTGGCTATCTCTCTATATCAATACATAATAGCTCCACCTCCTGAACATCACTTCCGGCTACATAATATTCTGAGTAAATAATCCAATAATATTATGTTTTCCCTATTTTGGACATATAGGTTTTTCAAACTTTTGCTACTACAAATAATGCTATAAGGAACATCTTCCTCCAGACTGATTTTTCCATATTGTGGATTTTTCCTGAGGCTAAATTCTTAAAAGCAGAAGTAACAAGTCAAAGAGCATGAACATTTTGATGATACAACACCTACTGACAAATTGCTTTCAAAAACTTATCCACTCACATGGCCACTGGCAGAGTACTGGTTTCCCTACATCCTTGCCAATACTGGATTTTCACATATGTCAAATATTTTGTTAATTTTAACATTAAAAAAAAAGATATCTCAGTCCGCATTTCCTGGATTCATAAAGTTGAACACTGTCCTCTCTTTTTTTTTAACTTATTCTAGTTCCTATTTTGTAAACTACTTGTTAACCTAAAGGGCGCCTTTCAATAGTCAAAAAAAAAAAACCTAACCTATTTCTATTTTTCTTTTGTGGATGCCAGCTAAGTCAAGCCATTCAGCTGACATTTACTGCATATATCTACAATATGCACAGGAATCTGTGAGGAGCATCCCAAAACACAACTCCAGCCTCTCATTTCTTAGCTGGAGTGACTGAACAAGAAACAGGACAGCTACTAGTCTAAGAAACAAATAAACCCACTAAAAACGCAGTATTTTAGCAAGCGCAAATTAATTCTAAGTATTTAAGTTCTGAATAAATAAGCAGAATTAAACAGAGGTCCTTTCTTAGAAGAGAACTGTGAGCTAGGTATTGAATGAATTACATATATGCCTTCATTTAACAATCTCTACTATGAGCCTGATCAGCAGCAGACTAGACCAGCAGGACAAACACGGTCCTCCCTTCACAGTCAATGGGGATGACAACTAAACAAGCAGCCCCAGTACAGTCTACACTGAGTGCTACATGAAGAGATGAGGGGAAATGTTCCTGTTGTTAGGTGCCATTGAGTTGTTCCAACTCATAGCAACCCCATGTACAAAAGAAAGATACACTGCCCAATCCTGCACCATCTTCACAATTGTTGCTATGTTTGAGCCCACTGTTGCAGCCACTGTGTCAATCCATCTCGTTAAGGGTCTTCCTCTTTTTTGCTGACTCTCTACTTTACCAAGCATGATGTCCTTCTCCAGGGACTGGTTCCTCCTAATAACGTGTCCAAAGTATGTGAAACGAAGTCTCACCATCCTTGTTTCCAAGGAGTATTCTTCCAAGACAGATTGTTCATTCTTCTGGCAGTCCATGGTATATTCAATATTCTTCACCAACACCATAATTCAAAGGCATCAATTCTTTGGTCTTCCTTATTCATTATCCAGCTTTCGCATGCGTATGAGGCAAAAGCATACGCTGCTTCCTTGAATGTTGATTGTGGATCCAAGTAAGATGAAATTCTTGATGACTTCAATACTTTCTCCGTTTATCATGGTGTTGCTTACTGGTCCAGCTGTGAGGATTTCTGCTTTCTTTGTGTTGAGGTATACTCCATACTGAAGGCTGTAGTCTTTGATCTTCATTAGTAAGCGCTTCAAGTCTTCTTTACTTTCAGCAAGCAAGGCTGTGTCATCTGCATAACACAGGCTGCTAATGAGTCTTCCTCCAATCCTGATGCTGTGTTCTTCATATAGTCCAGCTTCTCAGATTATTTGCTCAGCATACAGATTGAGTTAAGTATGGTAAAAGGATACAACCCTGACACACACCTTTCCTGATTTGAAACCACACAGTATCCCCTTGTTCTGTTCAAATGACTGCCTCTTGGTCTATGTACAGATTCCACATGAGCACAATTAAGTGTTCTGGAATTCCCATTCTTCACAATTTTATCCATAATTTGTTATGATCCACACATTTGAATGCCTTTGCATAGTCAATAAAACACAGGCTATAAAGGAGCCCTGGTGGCACAGTGGTTAAGTGTTCAGCTGCCAAGTTAAAGGTTCGTGGTTTGAACCCACCAGCCACTTCATGGAAGAAAGATGTGGCAGTCTGCTTCCGTAAAGATTTACAGCCTTGGAAACCCTATGGGGCAGTTCTACTCTGTCCTATCGGGTCGCTATGAGTCAGTATGTACTTGGTGGCAACAGGTTTAGGGTGCTATAAGGGCCTGCAGCAGGAGTACCTAATCCATAGTGGGCATCACAGGTCTCAAGACCAATTTAAGAAGTTTGAAACAATGAAGTGACATCACCAGACGTGTACTGTAGAACAATTCTGGCTGCAGAGAGAATGGACTGAAGGGAGTCTAGTCGGGTGGGGTCAACTAGGACCAACTATAGTCCAAAACAGAGAGGACAGTGGCTTTAACTAGGTTAGTAGCAACAGGAATAGAGAAGAGGCAGATCATATTTAGGAGGTAGAACAGCTAGGACTTGGTAACCATTCAGATGCAAGGCTGAGGGGCAATCTGGGGGGATGGATGGTGGTATCATTCACTGAGTCAAGGGCACTGGAGGGATGGCAAATAGGAAGCCGGGAAGGGCAGAAGATGAGTTCCACTTAGGACCTGTGGGACAAGAAGAGATGTCAGCACTGGAAGTAAGGTTCTGGAGATGGAAATTTAGAAGGTCTCTGCTCTCAGAGAGCAGCTGCAAACTTGGGAGAAGAGAGGAGCGCCTGGGAAGCACGCTCAGAATAAGAGCAATAGTGAGGCTCATAAAGAGCCAGGAAGAAGACGCCATTTAAGAATAGGCCATGTAAGGGTCACCAGCAAAGACCAAGGAGCAGCAGCCAGCGTGAGGAGGAAAACCATGAGAGTGCAGGGTCAAATGAGTTGAACATTTATGTCTACACAAAAACCTGCACATGAATTCTTAAAGCAGCTTTGTTCATAATTGTTAAAAAAATTGGAAGCAACCAAACTGCCGTTCAAAAGGTGAATGGACAAACTGTTGTACATCCATACAATGGATTATTATTCAGCAATAAAAGGAAATGAGCTATCAAGCCACAAAAAGACAAGGAGGAAACTTCTTAAATACATACTGCTAAGTGAAAAAAGATAGCTGAAAAAGCTACATACTATATGATTCCAACTATATGGACATTCCGGAAAAGGCAAAACTAAAGAGGCAGTAAAAAGATGATTTGTATCTCCTAGCAATCTGAATTTCCTGGATTCATAAAGTTGAACAGGTGAAGCACAGGACGTTTTTAGGACACTTTTAAAATACAGTGCATACTATTCTGTATTGATGCTGTAATGGTGGATACATGATATTATGCATTTGTCAAAACCCATAGGGCTGTATGACACCAACAGTGAACCTTAATGTGAACTATGGACTTTAGTTAGTTAATAATAATGCATCAGTATTGGTTGATCAATTTTCACAAGTATACATTCAACTGGAATGGAATGCAAGATGATAATAATAGGAGAAACAGTGTGCAGTGGGAAGGAGGTATGTGGGAACTCTGTACTTACTACACAATTTTTCTGTAAACCTAAAACTGCTCTTAAAAAAGTCTATTAGAAAGAAAGAAACGAGAAAGAGAGAGAGAGAAGGAAAGGAAAAGAAAAGAAATGAAGGTGTGGGGCTATGGGGTCAGGAAACCAAGGGATGAGTTTCTGGGTCAAGTAAAATAGGAACTGGGTGACTGTACAGCAATGCCCAACTCCCTTCCACTGAACAGGGAAAACCACTCCTTTATGCTGGCGTGTATATACAGCCTCCCAGTCTGAGACAATGACAGCTACAGTGCAGGTTACGGGTGGGAACGAACACGGAAAAAATAGGAGGAAGCAATTCAAACCAACAAGATACCACTTTAACCACCAGAAAACAGAGCTGCCAGAGAGAAACTCACCAAGCCCCAAATGCCAAGCAGGAAACGCCTAAACAAACAGTGCCTCTTAACTCTTGGCTCCCAAGGCTGATCCTGTTGCACCCCGGGCCTGTAGATTTTTTTTTCTGGGGCTTCGGGGAGAGGTAGTTGAAGGTAAACATCTGTAAAACACCTACTGTGTGCTGGGCACTAAGCTAGACAAATGACCAAGTATTTTGATTTAATCTTTGCACCAACACTATAGGGGTAGCTGTCATTATCTCCAATCAACAGCACTTAGCGAAATGTGCCTGGCTTATACATGGTGCCCTGCATATATTCACTGAATAATCGGATGGCACAAATAAGAAACCAGATTCAGAGAGAATAACCAGTCAAAGGTCACCCAGTTCACAAGTGCTGGATTCAGGATTCAACCTCATATCCATCTAGCAACAAAGTCAGAGCTCCTTCAGCTGGCCCACAGCCTCCCAGAGCGGGGAGGGAAGATGGAAGTTGGCACTCCAAAGCAACTGAGAAATCCAGGAGACAACATGTCCTCCTTGTCCAGAACGTTGCTTCTTGCACCTCCTGCCAGCCCCCAGGCATGAATTCCAGTTCTTTGTGCTCAATGCACTCGTGTACCCGATGGTACCTCAACACAGGTTCACTGGATGTTGAATGACCCAAAGGATGAATGGTTGCTGCAAAATAAGGCAATTGCAACCATTCTATCCCTTCCCAAGTAAAAAGAGCTGATGACTCTCAGAAGGTAAGTCCCTGGAGGTAAGGACTGTCATTCTAGCACGTAGTTTGCCTTCCTTTTTGTACAGTTATAGACACAGAGCATACTCTTCTGAACATTTACACTTAAAATTCATTTGCCCATAATTTTGAGACAATCAGAGATATTTTAATATGGACTAGATTCTAAGTGATATTAAGGAATTATTATTAATGTTGCTAGGTATGGTAATGGCATTGTGGTTATACTGAAAATGTCCTTCTTTTAAGAGGTTCACAATGAAGAATTTAGGGATGAAATGACAAACATTAGGGACTTGTTTAAAAATCTTACAGCTACAAAAAATGAGAGGAGAAAAAAGGGATAAGCTGAGTAAGTGGGGCAAAACACTAATAATTGCTGAACCTAGAAGATGAGTTATGAGATTCATAGTATTATTCTGTTACTGGATTTTTGAAAACTTACATAGTTAAAAACAAAACAAAAAACCCCACCAGGCAGTAGCTAAGAAATTTTACCATACACAGCTTTAATGGGCTTAGTGGTCATATCCTAAACGTTCCTGAGATTTGCTGTGTTGGAAACAAGAATCCACAGCTCCTGCTACTTAGAACAGGAAAGTTTTCAGGACAATTTAGCAATATCCTTATAGCTTCCTCATCTATATGTATTGGGTAATCCCTTGACTCCCAATACTCAGTGAATATAGACAATCAGGTGGCCAGCAATGTAAAAAGTGAAGTTCTTGGAGATAAGGAGGAAGGCACAGACTTTTTTTTTCATTTTATCCCCTTCTGTATTTGTATTCTGATCTTCCTTCTGTAATTGATTTGTTTTTTCACTAGTCCTGGGTGTTAGGCCTGCTCCTCCAACTAAGTATTTTTTTGTGGCCGTGATAAAATGTGTGGAGTTTTAAGATTAGTTTGAAATGAAGGGACCACTAAGATGTTCCTTTGTGCTTTTGTTTCCTTCTTGAAATTGGTTTGGCATACTTTCAACAATAACAACAATGCCAACCATTACAAGTACCATACACCATTATTACTACAACTACTACCAAATTTGGGAGGGCCTACTATGTGACAGTCACTATGTAAAGTGCCCTACATACACTGTCTTATCTATTCTCACAAAAATACTGCCTAGTAATATCTCTGTTACATAGAGGGGGAAACTGAAACTTAGAAAGCTAAGCAACTTGCCTCAAGTCACACAGCCAGTAAACAGCGTAGGCAGCATTCAATTCCAAAGCTGTTATTGTTAAAATTCTACACTATGCTGCATCCCTGACTGTGCTGAGTTCTACTCTATCAGAAAAGTCACTCAGAGATATCTCAGAACCTGCAAAGATGCTAGAACAACACGACAGTAATAAATGATGGTAATAATTCTTTATGTTTATATCATTTTGGTTTACAAAGTCCTTTGAGTAACATATTCTCATTTCATACTTACAACTTGGTCACTTTCAGCTCTGTGACACTGACCAAGTCACTTAACTTCTCTGAACCTTAGCTGCTCCATATATAAAATGATGACAGTGATAACATAGTGGTTAAGAGCTCAGCCTCTGGCACCAAAATCTGGCTGGGTTCCAGATTCTGCCACTTAACAGCTGTGTGCCCTTGGGCAAGATGCTTAACCTCTCTGTGCCTCAGTTCCTCTATCGATAAAATGGGGATAATAATAGTACTTCCCTCACAGAATTATTATGAAGATTACACAAACTAATACACCCTCTCCTGACATGGTTATGTTCCAAAGCCAGGTTGTTATGCAAAATCGGTGTTATGGGAAAATGGAGGATGACTACATCATTACATAACTGCCAAATTACATTATTATATAACTGCCAAACCACTGAGAATCATGGCCCAGCCAAGCTGACACATAATTTTAACCATCAAAGCCAGGGTTACTCGTGTCTCTCACCCAGTGTTCATTACTGCCAGACATATGTCGTTCATTACTGCCAGACATACATCATTAATGAGCAAATACTCAGATAGTAGATTTTTTTACTATTGTCATAAATGCAAAATGTTGGATACTGAGATAGTCAATAAATAAGGAGAAGGTGTAATTGTGAAAGAAAGCGCCCGGCACAAAGTAAGTGCTATGTGTTTTTAAAATAAATAAATAAATAATTTGAAATACATCAGAGTTACTGTGAAAGCTCTACACAAATGTATTACCTACGGAAACCGTGCAACGTGATCCTCTTTAAAGAAAAGGCAAAATGACTCCGGGGAATGGGAGGGCTACCGATAGGACTGGCCAAGCTTCGCGTCCTGCCACAGTTATCTTTCTGACCTGTTTGATCTCAGAAAAGGTTCTTAAAACTTCACTCCAAGCTTCAGATTCCTTACTAGCACGAAGGTCACATCTTCCTCCAAAGCTGTTGAGAGAATTCGATTTCACTAAAGTACCTGCTACAAAAAAGGACCCTGTGCCAGTTCTCCTCTGTCCCCACGCGCTCCTCAGATCTTCCCCTACACTCTCTGACAGAACAACTGCTCATTACAAGCAAGCCCACAGCCAAATGGAGCCAAAGTGAAAAGCTCCTCATTCACCTCTGAGCCCTCCGGAAGGGGGGTCCATCTCGAGTCCTCAAACCTCTTTAAAATGTAGTTGCAAATCATAACTACAAATACTGTCATCGTGAACACCAAAGAGGAAGAAGAGCTCAGAAATCAAAATCCCGACCGCAAAAAGAAGAACCAGGAAACTGCCAAGGAACTCTGGGGTTGGAGAGTGGCAGGAGGCCAAGAAACAATCTTGGCGCGCGTTTTTGGGTTTGTTTTGGTAATTCTCTAGTTGGAGTGACTTTTCTTCTGGGAGGAAGGCGCTGCAAATCGCCTGTGAGTCAAGGGGACGCAGGGCGCGGCGGGGACTCTCGGGCTCGAAGCTAGAACGAAGTGCACTAGAGGTCAGCGGCCTGGAGAAGGCCATTTCCGAGGAAGCCAGGGGATGCCGGCGCAGCCGGCTAGCTGCCCGTCCCTCTCCGCGGCTCCGGCCCCACCCCCAGCCCTGAGGACCGGCTTTGCCCAGCCCGGGGCGTTCTCACCTGAGCTGGGCCTACGGCATAGCCCCTCCCCGGGCACGGGTCCCGGAGCCCCGAGGCCGTGCAAGCCACCCGCCGCCAGAGCCCACGCGCCGCGCAAACCGCCGCGATCCAGCCGAGCGAAGCCATCTGGCCGCCCGTCGCGTGCACGTGCGGACTGCGCCGGCCCAGGAGCCGCGCGGC